CAAGCATTCAAGCGTATGTATATTTTTTTACATTGATATAATGCAATATGCATTTGTGACAGGCATACGTGAGAGAAGCAGAAACAGCTCCTGAGAAGTGAAAACACCAATTGATGGATGTCTTCGCACGCTCCACCGCATTATCCGCACACCTCGTCGTCTTCTACTATTATTTTGATCTAAGATTAATTCTCTAAAATAACACATTTTGTGTTTTTTGTTCTAAATATAGAACAACTAATTTAAATTTTGAATAATATGAAAAGTTCAATATATAAAAAAAAAACTTAAACTCTTTTCTAATTGAAGAAATCAAAACCCTAAACTAAAAAAATGAGAACCTAAACATAATGTTTCAATTTCGTTTGTAATTTATTTAAGATAAACTAATATTTCCACATTATAATTTGTGTCATTTCAAAAATTCAAACTTGACGTTACATTTGGAAGAAACCCTATTTTTGTGATATTTTAGAATATCACCTAGAATTATAAAAACAGAATTAAACCGTATATACAAAATTTCTGATGATATCAAATTCGATTTTGATACCTTTGAAATCTTAGAAGATTAATGTGGGGCCTAAGTGGAGAACATGGGTAATAAAGATCAGTTAGGACCACGTGGGCTCGACTGCTTCGAACCAATCACATCTCGAATCTCAAATTCAACTTCAGATTTTGCTCTTTTTTCCCTAAGAATCTTAAAGTGCTTAAGTGACCAAATCCCCAATTATCGTCGTCTTAAGATAAAAATTTTAGTCTCATTCACGCCAGGTGTCAATCATCAGCGAATCATTTCGATTTTACCAAAACTACATAAATAATCATTATTATCTTTTAGTTCGACGGGTCTTAACTCTCTTTTAAGTTTCAAGTTTCAGCTTTCCAGATATTTCATGTCCAAAAATAATCTACATTTATCGTTCTTTGTTTAATAACCATTCTTAAAATGTTTAATAAGGCTAAACCAAATATCTAACACATGTATAGAATGTGTAATCCAGAAGCTAGTTGCCAAACACCAAAGAATAATAGGTTTCACAGATGACCTAATTTTTTTTTTTTTTACCAAAATAGATTGCTTACTAAAATTTGTAATGTTTAATAACACACCCATATTGACTATCTGTTGTTCAAATTCTAGTAAGCAATTGCACTAGATTAAACTTTTAAAATCTATTCGTTTTGTTAAACGTGATGATCAATCAACAAAGTTATAGTCCAATTATTTTGGCTTGTTTTATTTACTAAATACAGTTGCTTACCGTAAATTTCCATAATTCTTCATAATTAGATTAGTCTATACGTACCATTTGACATAAAAGCATGTTTAGAAAAAGGTAAAATACCTATTGGTTATATAGAATATAGTTTTTTTTTCTGGTTGATGCTATTAAAATTCACGTGAGAGGATACCCAGAGTGTAATGTGAATGATAATAAAACTTGTTTAGATTATTGATCAGACCAAGAAAGGGAGATAAGATGTTGTCCCTTTTGATGTTTTAAAAATTAAAACCCACATGATCTTTGGGTCCATAAAGTTTTCAAAGTTTATCTTTGTTTTGGAAGATAATTACTAGAGTTAGTAATTACAAAGGTCGAGTAGGAAATATTGGCCTTGGAACTTGAAGACCGGTGGAAATTCTAAATGTTCCGAAGTTGTTAGCCATAATGATGGAGAAATTTAAAAAAATACCATTTTTCAAGCGCCACTTTATAAAAATGCCACATTTTTAAAATTTTTACAAAAATGCCACTTTTCCAAAATTTTTTTTTTATATTATTTATGTTTGGGTTAATTGTGTTCTATTAGGGTTTAGTTATGAGGGTTTAGAGGGGTTTAGGGGTCAAAACATTT